CAGATTAAACTCTGAGATTCCCTGAAGTAACTAAATCAGAGTTTCACAAACTTAAGAGAATTTTTTAAAAAATTCTCCCCATGCAGCACTTATTAATAATTTATATGAATTTACTTTGGGAAATGTTGGCCTTCTTAAAGAATAGTATCTGTATGATTGGTGGTAATCTATTTCATCTGCACAAAGATCCTGTGATGGTTTTCAGTTGTTCTACAAATGAAACAATTAACTAGTTTTTAAATCTGGATGATTCTTAAAAGGTAGTTAAATTGTCAGTTTGAACCTATTTCTCTCGTCAGAGTTCAGGCTCTAGACTGCTATTTTATTTTTGTCTTTGTGTTGTTTCATAGTTTTACTTGTTCTCTTCCTGTTTTTTAATCCACTAAGAAGTCCTTCAAGTTTTTTTAAATGATGAATACATTTTGGAAAATTAATTGTATAGTGTGTAAATCTTGAATTTGTAATTTCTATATTTTTTCAGATTAAAGGAAGATAACCATTGTTTTTTATAAGCATACTGAATGTATTAAGTGACTCAGAAATAATTACCCTAAAGATATGTTAGAACAAAATAAAGTTAGAGACATTTCAGTTGTCACAGCTTATATTTTACTAGAAGTTTTTAAATCCTGACATAAATAATTTTAAAAAATTAATGTGGAAAATATTTAGTCAAGTGAACTTATGAGAAACTATCAACTAGAAGAATAATAGGATTTTTTGAGATTTTGAGAAATGTGTTAAGTATTTTGTGTCAAGGACATAAACAGTCCCTTTTGGGCCTTATTGAGAGAAAATTCATCTCATTAAATAGTAGTTGTTGTAAAGGGCCCTCTAGTCAGTTTCAACTCATAGCGACCCATGGTATAGGGTTTCCAAGGAGTGGCTGGTGAGTATTACAAGGAATTCTCAGACTTTGAATTGTTCCTTAAGACAAAAACTGTTTGGGGGGAGATTTATTACTTTTTTTTCTGACTTCATGTCATCAGTATCTTTAATATTTTTATTAAATATATTTAAGCTGTCATTTTTTGTTAAATACATGAATCAGATATTCTAGTTGCTTATTATAAATAAAAGAAAATGGAAAAACACAGAGAAAAATTAAGAAAAATCACCAGTTTCTCAGGCTAAGTTAATTTGCTTCATTGCTATTTTTCCATGATTTATTGTACAGTAACCAGAGAGATACACCACAGATGGTTCATTTTAAAAAGTTTAGAAACCAAAAAGACTGCTGTCTTTCTTGAGATTACACTTTTTAGTTGTAGAATGTTTGTTACTTTAATTTTTCTTCTTTCTGCTGTGATGTATTTTATCTTTGTATTCATTGTGAACATATTTGCCATTAGAGCATTTAAAATTCTTCTGTGTGCTCATTCCTTTCTGAGTTACCTCAGGCTTGGTCTAGTCTCTGGTCATTTTTGTTTTAATTTAGAATGGGTCACATTTTTTCTGTGTCTAAGTATGGTCAAAAAATTTATAACAGTATCGTGGACATTGTAAAGATTATCTTGTGGCGATTGTAGCTTCTGCTGTATTCTTTTGAAGAGTGTTGACTTTTGTTTTGTTGCTGTGTGCCATTGAGTTGATTCTGTATCATAGTAACCCTCTATTATAATAGAACTACACTGTAAGGATTCTTGGGGGAAATTATTGAATAATGCAGAAAGCATAAAAAGATGGAAGGAATACACCGAGTCACTGTACCAAAAGGAAAAGGTCAATGTTCAGCTGCTTCAAGAGGTAGTATATGATCAAGAGCCAATGATACTGAAGGCAGAAGTCCAAAGTGCACTGAAGGCATTGGCAAAGAACAAGGCACCAGGAATTGATGGATTGTAAATTGAAATCTTTCAACAAAGTGAAGCGGCACAGGAAGCACTCAATATTCTATGCCAAGAAATTTGGAAGATAACTATCTGGCCCAACTAAATTGAAAGAGATCCGCATTTGTGCCCATTACAAAGAGAGATGACCCAACGGAATACAGAAGTCCTTGGAAAATATCTTCACTATCCCATGTGAGTAAAGGTTTACTAAAGGTAATACAGAAACAGCTGCAAGCATGCATTGACAGAGAACTTCTAGAGGCTTAAACCGCATTCAGAAGAGGGCATGGAACGAGGGTTATCATTGCTGACATCAGGTGAATCTTGGCTGAAAGCAGAGAATGCTAAACAGATGTTTGTTGACTACACAAAGGCTTTCGATTATGTGGATCATGACAAGCTATGGACAACATTGTGAAGTATGAGTATTCCTGAACTTAATTATGCTCATTAGGAACCTGTATATAGACCAAGAGGCAGTTCTTTGACTAGAACACAGGAACAATGAATGGTTTTAACATTAGGAAAGGTGTGCCGACAGGGTTGTATTCTTTCACCATGCTTACTCAACCTGTATACTGAGCAAATTTTCTGAAAAGCTGGGTTATATGAATTAAAACGTGGCATCAGGACTGTAGAAAGACTCATTAACAACCTGCAATATGCAGATGATACAACTTTGCTTGCTGAAAGTGAAGAAGAGTTAAAATATTTATTGATGAAGATCAAAGACCACAGCCTTCAGTATGGATTACATCTCAATGTCAAGAAAACAAAAATCCTCACCACTGGACTAATAAACATTATTTTCAGTGGAGAAAAGATTGAAGTTGTCAAACACTTCATTTTTGTTGGATCAACCATCAATGCTCATAGAAGCAGCAGTCAAGAAATCAAACAATGTAGTGTGTTAGGCAAATCTGTTACACAAGACCTTTTTTAAATGTTGAATAGCAAAGATGTCAGCTTGAGGATTAAGGTGCGCCTGACCCAAGCTATGGTATTTTCGGTAATCTCATATGCATATGAAAGTTGGACAGTGAATAAGGAAGATCATAGAATTGATGCATTTGCGTTATGGTGTTGGAGGAGAATATTGAAAGTGCCATGAGCTGTCAAAAGAAACAACAGATCTGTGTTGGAGGAAGTGCAGCCAGAGTGGTCCTTGGAGGCTAGGATGGCCAAACTTCGTCACTCATACTTCAGACATATTGTTAGGAGTGACCAGTCCTTGAAGAGAGATACCATGTTTGGTAAGGTGAAGGGTCAGAGAAAAAGAGGAACACCCCCAAAGAGATGGATTGGCCAAGAGGCAGCATCAATGGGCTCAAGCGTGGCAACAATTGTGAGGTTGGCCCAGGACCAGGCAGTGTTTTGTTCTGTTGCACATAGGTTCGCTGTGAGTGGGTACCGGCTCAATGGCACCTAACAACAACTACAGCCTTTACTGGAACAGATCTCCAGATCTTTTCTCTCATCAAGCAGCTGCTGAGTTCAAATAGCCAATTTTTCAATTAGAAGCCAAGGACTTGACCACTGTATGAACAAGTAGTCTGGTTGGATTCACACTATTCATTGTGGCTCTTTGAAAAGCAACTCAAACTCTGTTTACTTCTTTTATCCTTGTAATTTGTCCCACACAGGTATGGTTCAGGGCTCATCGTAAGTTTGGGCAGGGGTTATACAGAGGATTTTTAGTCCTGTCTCCTCCCCATTCCTCCCCTCCTCAGCACTCCCCTGCCCCATCTCTGTCTTCCAAGATTTCTCCTCATATACAGTGCACATGCTGAAAACTCTGTTCTTCAGGACTGAGAGACTAGACTGCAGCCTGCCTGTAGGCTAAAAGCCAAGATGGATACTCATCCTGTGTCTTCTCACTGAATACTTCCCTCCAGAATCTGTCTGCGCTTTTTGTTCACTCTTTAGTTCCTTCAGATAGGAGTTTTGTTTTCCGTTTTGTCAAGAGCTGTATTTGATATCTACAGAAATATTGGTGTATAGTAACTTGTACTGCC